ATTTCACCAATAACCTCCAATGAAATACAGCATTTTAAAAAATACAAAGTTTAATTTTAACTTGTAATTTAATAAAAATTTAAAGAACAAAAATACAGTACTTTGTAAACTATGCAAAAAAACTGTTCCCACTTGAGGTGAAAACCAACCTGTGTTTTTACTTCCCCAGTGAGGTAAAAACACACTACTGAGCACAAACAGGCTGTGAAAGAAGAAGTGCTAACAGCTGGTGATGTGTGACTCAAATGTAGACTCAATCGAGCATCACTGGAGCTCTGGCTAACTGCACCTCACATGACAAGAAGAGCAAAGGTGGATGCAAATTACTGTTGTGGTTAGATCTTGAAAATATTTTGTTATTAAATGATATTTTATAGTTTTTATTGTGTGATAATAATGTGCAGCTGCTGAAGAATAACAAGGTTGCATTGTATTCAATACCACACATCAGCAGTGCGCAAGCTGCTAGCATTAGACCTAGTACAGTATGAAGGAAGCTAACAGAAATCGTTTAGCATTTTGAAGGCATTTCGCGGCTAAGACGCCAGCATCTTTTATTTGTATGTTTGCAAAAGCGTTGTACTTCACCACAGACTGTGGTCAAAGTAAGCTGAGACAAATGACGAGCTCATTGATGACGAAAGTGCTTTCCCTGTCAGCTGCTCTCTTTCTCTTACTCCCTCCCTCTCTCTCTCTCTCATCTTTGCTGTCACTCATCACATTGTTGGGAAGATTTTATTGCACTTACACTAACATATAATCATCAGTTCAATTAATAATATTACACTTCATCTGTCCTTAGGTGCTCTGTGATTTTACAGCGAGCCGGAGAATGGGTAATATTTATGGTCACCGTATTGATCACGTTGCAAAATTATTTTCATTTGTTACATTTTATTTTGCAAAGTTTGGAAAAGAATGTTTAACTTAAGTGTGGTTTAACTTACACACATAGAAAAAATGATTCCCAGTCTCTTCTTCAGAGTCTTTTAATATTTTTAATGCTACATATAACCAAACCTCAGGTATCGGTATTGTATTGTAACTAGAGACAGTGTCATTAGTGCAACCCTAACTGATAATAGCTTCGACGCGTGTGTTGACTGACAGATACTCCCTAGCGACTGTCTTATGTTGGGGGGTGGAGGGAGCTCAGTTATTTTCAGCCTGATGGAAAGACAGCAGACAGGTGGCTCACATATAGGCCTACTTACACCATTGGATACCATGACACAAATAAACGCAGTGGACACAATTGTCTGTGGAAAGACAATCCTGTGTTTCTCTGCTTCATATCTACTTTGATATTGAGCCTCAGAGTGTGAAACTAACTTGAATGATGGAAGACCGGGGTTTCTGGAGGAGGGCGAGCAAAGAGGGGGAGAAAGAAAAAGGGAGCGTGTGAACGAATGCTTCGGACAGTTCTGGATGAGCAGACACTGACAGGTTTTCTTTCTTTTTTTCTGTTCTGGCCCCTGTCTCTCTCTTTCTCATTCGCTCTCAAAATATCATTACTGCACAATTCGACTTCTCTACATCTTTAGAAAGGATTTTATATGAGCAGTTGTTGGATTGATTAGGTTTCTAGCTACAGTGTACACCCACCCCCCATCTCTTCCTGAGGAACAGAATGAGAGCAGGGCCGCTGGTCAGCACTCTGGTTTTCTGCATCCAGATGGTAGATGTGAAAGATCCCAGTTAGGGGTCCCAATGCTACGTCCTTGAAGCTGGGTGATTTATACACTGGCAAAGGCATCTAAAAGGCAACTAAGGAGAAAACTCCTATACATTGTGTGATAGTATAAGGATGTGCTGGATCGTATGTTTAATTATCTTTTCTGATATGGGAGTTTTTTTAGTTCTTTATATTCACAATCATATTTGATATATTTCATACCTTTGCACTCTTTGTGCTAATAATGCTACAGGATCCTTGTCACTTCATGCTCTGAGGCAGGTGTGTGTGTGTGTGTCTGTGTGTGTATGTGTGCTTAACCTTCAAGTGAACCTCACTTGAACCTCAGCGTTTCTGAGGAGTTTTATTCACTGGCACCTCCCACTGTTTTCTCTCCAATTAAGTCTGCCATCACACTTGGTGAAGAGAGTCTGCCCCAAGCTCGAGAGCCATGTATCCCCCCCACAGGTCTGAGCTTTGGCCCCACTCGTCCCCACTCAGCTTAGGTCCCAAATGCATGGAGCACATCCTTCACACCAGGGAATGTCCAGATATGTATTAGTATTCCCTTTTGCCAGCAGTTCCGAAATGGGTCTCAGAAGTGTGAAAGAATAGAGGATAAAAGAATCGAAGTGTGAGGAAACATAGGAGAGAAGAAAGGACAGATTTATGGAGAAAGAGTGGAAGTAATTAAGTTAAATGGATCAATAGATCAATAGTTAGCTGTGTTCTCGCCATGGGGTGTAGATGTCTGAAAGCAGGAGGTGCTGGAATAAAAGGAAAAGAGATCAAGGTAAAAAAAATTAAAGAAATTGGAATATTGTGAAATTTACCTTGTTGTTAATTAAGAGACTGCCATATTTATTTAACTTTTTTTTTTTGTTAAAAAATAAACATGACCAAATGGTATCTGAATCAGATCTTCCATGTTGTGTAAACCATCATCTTTGCTTGGTTGATTCAGTTTTGTTAATTTAACAAACTGCTTTGGTAGTTGTTTGACTTGAAAATCTATTCCAGCTGAGTAAAATGGTCTGTTCGATAAACTTTTGTTTTGTTTATTTGATTTATTTATTTTTATCGCTCAAACTCCTGTAGTAGTTATTTGCACTTATGCACAATGTTTGAAAAGGACTGTAGCTCCTTTTTTAACATGAAGTATTTTTTTTATCAGCAGCTCCTTCTGTTGCTGTCATTTTGTAACAGAATCCGTAGAAATCGTCATGGTGAGCATGATTTTATGATTATGAATCCGTGCTGTAATTTAACATTGTTCAAATCACAGAAAGAATTTCCATCATATTTTGTAATACGTTTGTTTTATTCAATACTTTAAATATACTTCAGGTTGAGTGATCTTTAGCAGTACATTCATTGATCACCATTTTGAGTCAAAAGGTAATGTTCAAATCAAGGGATGAGAAAAAGAAAAGGAGCAGGATGGAAAGATGGAACTGAGCAAGGATTGTGTTCATGTGTAGTCGATGATAAGTGGAAATGTATTGGGAAAAAAGCAGTTATGGAGAATGGAATGAGGAACTTTAGGAGGAATGAATGGATGGAAAAAAGGCGAGAGCTTAAGGAAATTAAGGATAATTCACAGATCTGATCATGAGCTTAATGATGAGTGATTGGATGAAAAGATAGAGGGTGTGATGAGGAAAAAGAAGAAAGTGAGGGCAAAAAAAGTGGCAAGGAAAACATTAAGGATAGAAGTGGAACAAAAGGAAAAATAAAGTACAGTACCAGAAGACTTTCATAATCTAAATCATGGATAGATGGATGTAAATGATGAACTGTCAAAGAAGGAAAGCAGCAGTGTAAGGATAAGGAAAAAAGGAAATCAAGGAATATGAGAGGACTGTGGGCTGGTGGTAAAACAAGGCAAACGGTGACATGAACAAGGTTTGAATCAAAGATAAAATGACTAAAGGAACTAAAGAACAAACTAGAAACTAAAGAATCAAATCAAAACTAGAGACATACGCTAAAGAAATTTTAATTTTATGATTTTCTTTAAATATTGAAGTAACAAAGGAATTTTTTTCAGATAGAAAAACAACCAAAAAATGAAACTGTAGCTAGCAGAAAGATGGCATAACAGAAATTAAGATCCATCCAGGTATAAATGAAAGAAAGGAAGCAGGTAGAAGGTAATGGATAAAGAAGAATAAGAACAAAAGAAGGGAGGAAATGATTGTGGCATTATATTTATTAGCAACCATGCAAATGTACCAACTTCAATACCCTAAATGCTGCAAATTAGTGGAAAAGCACATAGAACAAGCATAAGACACAAATGAAGGCAGCTTAAAATGAAATGAAATTGGTTGTAGGCAGCAGGACTGCAAAGGGATTGAGGGGAGAAAAAAAGGGAAGGCGAATGGAAAGGAAAAAGAGCAGGTCTTTATTATGGTGAGTAACTTTGACACGCTCGCGTTGCGCCCAGTGCCAGTCCATCCGTCATCCAGCTCTCCTACTGATGAGCATTGGAAACAAATCTGAGGAAGCCGGGCTTTATTTTGCCGCCTGGGTGACTTGTCGGAGTCGTCACAAGCCCATGTGTCCCTGTACCTCTTCCCAACTGACATCTCCCAAGCTCAGTTTCACCCGCTGGGAATCTCTGCCGCTCTTCTCCCTGTTTTCCTCCATCTCGTCTATTCATTATGCAGATAAGTTGGGGTTTTTTTTTCTTTGCCAGTCCCCTGTGTTTGTTTGATTCTTTATTTATCTCCGGTGTTTTTGCTGTTTATCTGTTTGCAGAGAGTGTGTGTATATGCGGTTGATAAGTTGTGAAACACAGAGGGCATCAATCACTGTCACTTAGCTGCTCAACATGTCGCTCGTTGCGACAGAGCCCTCCTCCGAACCTAATCTCGATGAATTTCAAACTCTTCCAATACATAAATCTGCAAGGGAGGGGAGGAGCGTGGGTGGGGGGGAACTTTAGTGCTTTTCCAATCTGAGTCAAATATATGTTTACACATTTACAAATGAGAAATCCAGGAGTACAACGTCAGTTCTCATATTCTCCACGCCCATGGCAGCCTGCTTGGCGATGCAGCCCCTCCTGCAGCAGACTTCTGCAACAGTTATTTAGATGAATGATTAAAGTTAAACCACAGCCAGCAAGAGTCTCACCATTCTTATTTAAGGAAGAATGGGGAAGCTGTCATCTTTTGATGCATTACCCAGCATCTTGCATGCAAACAAGGCACCCCTTCTCTGCTGATGACACCATGCTCTTCTGTCCCCCCCCCCCTTCCTTTAAGATGTGTCCCCAAAAGACCTGCTTTGGGTGATTGATCAGGTAGTGCGGTTGCATCAGTGGAGACATGAAGGGAGTGTGCCCACCCAGCAAGCCAGACAAAAACACTTCAGCATGTTGATCTGATGTGATCAGTAAGATAGAGGGAACAAAAGTGGACAAATATGACTCCTGAAGTCTGGCCCTTCAGTGGGAAGTTTTCTAATGGCTTCATAGATAAATCGTGTTTCGTGTCATCTTCCTGCATTTTAACTTTTGGTAAACTTCGTAGAGCAATACTGTAAATATACTGAATGCAACAAATGGGACATTAGCAGTGTTTTCAGCATCCTGTTTTGTAAGTTAGTCTTAAAGGTATTGTAAGCTTGTGGTAAATTGCAAAAAGGAAAGATTTTAAGAAATCACAATTAGTTATCTTTGTCCAGTAAAGTTTGTTTTTGCTGTCTTAGGTCTTTTCTAACTAATCTATATTTTAGTTGTTTTGTAATGATTCTTATGCAGTGACCATATTTATAGTAATACTTGTTCCACATTGACCAAGGAAGGTTTAAACACAATGAGTGACCTTAACCTCACTAAAATTCGTCATCATTGTCCAACAGACTGTGTAGAAAGAACTAACCACAGCTGATATTTCTTTTTGTTCAATACTTCCAATATTTTTAATTTCTACTTCTTCTATTAATAAAAGGAAAACTGCACATTAAAACATATAAACTGCCCTTTGAAGCAAATCAAATTAATTTTATTAATAATAAATAATAATACAGCTGTAATGCTTTCAAATCCCTTCAAGTTAGAGTAAAATTTCACCAAATCTTTTTAGTCTTTTCTTAAAAAGATTTGGTAGTTGTTTGAACTTGCTAGTCTCTCTATTTGGACGTTTCCCATAGTGCGCTAAATGCTTTTTGACATGTTCGTGCTGCCAAAAATTGAACACAGCAAGATGAAATAGAGATTTGACCGTGAGCGTTGCTCTGACTTGTCAATCCTCGGACCACACCGTGCTAAGTCCTTCTGCGGTGATGATGACTATTTTAACACATAAGATTAAAAAAGAAAAAGTTTAAAAAACAGTGCTACAACATTCTGTATGTAGCATGTGTGCTTTATGCTAACTGCCACTGTTAGTTAGCATGCTAGCTATCATAGGAATCAAGAGTGAATTCTTCTCTTACTGTCTGGAAATTGTTTGGTGGCCTCTCTGCTTCCTCTCTGTAGCCAAGATGACAACCATAGATGGTAAGAAATGGCAGTTTTTTTGTTTGTTTTTACCATTATGAGTACACCATCCAATGAGCTTCATTTAGCCGCAGGTTTTTCCCTTTTTGTGCACTCAAAAAGTACTAAGTGTGGACTTGAGACACAGCATTCATCTTAAACTGTTGCTACTTGGATGTAAGATAAAAATGATAAGTTAAGCAAACGTTTTTGAAATGTTTCTGCTGCTTGCACAGCAGGTCGAGTTGAAGGTGGCAAAGTTGAAGATGTAAAGGCCAGGAGGAACAGGATTAAAAATGAGTGCATCAGCAGGACAGCTCAGGTCACACGTTTTGGAAAATAAGTTAGAGAGATAAGGTTGACGTGGTTTCAGCATATAGTGAAGTTAAGAAAAGTACAATTAGTTATCTTTTGTTCAGGAAAGTTCCTGGCCTTTCTGGGGTGTAAGGTTAGTGGATATATCAGACAAAAGATCTTGAATTTTGTTATTTCTTTCCATTTTTGTTGTGATGTACTTTGTGATATTTATTATGAAAGGTGATAAATAAATAAAATTTGACTTACCTATACCTTACTGGCTTAATAACAAACTTCCAAGCAGGAGGTGAAGAGGAAGACCACAGAGATAAGACATTAGTGCATGGAATGAACAGGACAGTTGCTGATTTTGTTTTTATTCTTATTCTTCATATTGTCTAATATTAGCAGATAGCATCAGTAAAATGAGCTTCACAATTGTTTGCTGATGCATTTTACATCTTTTTCTGAAGTTGCCTCTGAGTTTTTCAAACTTTTAACTTTTATTTTCCTAACTCCTCCTTTACAGACCCCTGGTTACTTTTTAGTTTTTCATGTTTGTAATTATATATGTGGATGATTTTCTGAGTTTCTGAGTACTTGAAAGTAATTTACGTATCCACAAAAATTTTAATATTATAGTTGTATTAGCTAATCTTAACTAAACCACAAACCACTCCGAGAGCACAAAGCTCTGCCAAGGCAACTCACTCTCTGGGCAGTGTTTACGCTTAAGGGAGCAGTATCATATTTTGTACAGATTCAACTTGTTTTCTTTCTTCTTTTTAAATGTACTTTAAGAAGTTTATAGTGTGGTAAAAAAGAATGCATTTTTTGGGTTAACTTAAAAGAGAGGCAGGTGTAAAATGTAAAAGTGAGAGCAGAGGTCAAATGTAACATGATATTTGGATGCAAACTATAATGGGACATTTAGAATTGCTATAGGCCTGAATGTACCTAAATCATTTCCTAAATGTTGCCAAGACAAACAAAGGCAGTAGAATTTTAAACATAGTTTTAAGGATGAAAGACATTTTATGAAAGTTTGACCTTATTCGACCTTAAAGAAGAGCAGGACAAAGTAATGTGATATTTAGGATCCCATACATAGTTTGAAATAGTTCTATATAGCATTATTATCACTTTGACCTTCAGGTCAATCTATCGACCTTGAAGGAGAGGTCAGAGGTCATATTTGCTGTGATGTGAAATCTACTTTCTATATCCTGACAATACACACTACACTTGAAACAATCATGATTCTAAGTTGTAAGACTTTTTGTTTTCAACCAATAATTGTCCTTGATGTAAATATGTAAAAATTGCGTAGGTTTCTGTTGTGTGTCTTGTGTACTGTTTGTTTGTATACGTGTCTTTCTTGCTGCTTGTACACCCAAATTTCCTCTTGTGGCACAATTAAAGGATTATTCTAAATCATTAAGTTGACCTTTAAGACCTTGGTGGATGTAAGTCAAATTTTGGTAGATTGTTAACATTGTTAACGCAACTCTACACCCCTACAAAGTTTTATCAGAATTCATTCAAAACTTTTTGAGCTATTGTGTTTACAGACAGATTGACAGGCACGCAGGAACGCACACAAACGCTACCAGAAACATAACCTCCTTGGCGGGGGTAATAAATAAAACAAAGGTTTTCTGGAGGTCTGCAGCAGCACATAGATTCTGTTTCCTGTGGGAGTAGTTACGTGATGAAGATTAAATGCAACTGAAAAACAACTAAAACCGATTTGGCTGTAGCAGCACTGCTTAAACATACTTGAATGAAAGCACTTACATACAATGCTGGCAGCGATGCCCAGTGTTTTGTTAGCATTGTATGTTTATTTGGCAGTGGCTGATACTTAGCCAGTCACTGTGGAGTCTCCTGATTTAATATAGTACCATAATGCGTTTTGCAAAAGACTGTGTTAACAAGAGCAACGTTGTTTATTTAATGTGGTAATCTCTGTGGTTGCAAAGGCTATTTTTAGTCCCATGTGCTATAACAAGAGGTATGTCGTTCCAAATGTAAGAAGAACATAATTATTTCAGTTTGTCGTTGTAGCAGGCCTTGCTGAATTTATAAATCACTGGACAGCAATATTTATCTTTGGAATACACAGATAAGAGTGACAGGTGGATTTAGATTATGATGCAAATAAAGAAGCTTCAGGTGAGGCTTTGCTGTTGCAGGTGTAATGTTTAACTGTGTTGAACGAGTAATAGTCAAAAGGATCGTAAGCCAAATGGAGCCTCTTATTTACTGCAAAAATATGAGAATATGTTTGGCCTTGTAATCTCAGTCTTCAAAAACAAAAAATACAGCAATTTCTTTCCAAATAATGTTTCATTTGCTTGAATACATGCACATATTTGTACATGATGTGTCCACTGCAAGATATTTGATGTTCTGTTTATATTTTTTTATTTTCTCTGTTTGTTTTTATGCTTTTTTTTGTAAAGAAAAGTACATACAGACACATGGATGTGTTGTCTAACAAGCTGCCTGACCTCTAATGACCTTTCTTTCACCGCTGGGTTTTTGTTGTAGATCTTCTGCTTGCTTGGTGAAAAAAAAAATGACTGGCCAGTTTTTCCAGCAATTGAACTCCCACTCACGCTGGCTGACTTGGTTAAATTAAAATGTTAATTAATTGTGTAAAAATATGCCTCAATATACAACAGTTGGAAGTTCTAAAGTTGCCTTGTTGTGCCAAGACAATAAAACAAACCTGAAATTCCCATAACTGTGAGACATTGTAGTTTTCTACATTTCCCCCTTAGTCTAATTTTAGCACATCTGCAATATTTTGCAATATTGTCGGCATATTACACTTAAGCCAGCATTCAATACCCTCATAAATCCTCTAATATAGACATCAAGTGGTAGAGTAGCATCTCTTTCTTTCTTCCTTGAAACTAAACCTTGTTTTTATTTACCTTATTTTCTACACACTAAAAAATACAGATTCTTTAAAGCTGATGATGAACTAAAATGCTTATTAAATTTAGTCTGAAATATGGAAAAATACTTTATTTCTTCTTCAAGTGATTTTTTTCAGAACTGAGCTGGTCTTCTTGAAACAATATTACAGATATTACTTCTCAAGAAACCTCTGATTATTCTCTATGGGGTGAAGTGTTTCTCATTTTTGTCTTATTGCACTCATAATCTCACTCTGTGTCGTATATATATTGTCTTTTTACCTTTTCTCTCTTTGCACTTTCGCCTCATATTGTCTTACAGACCTCTCTGCTTTCTCTACACTCATTCTCTTATTCTTTTTCTTTTTCTCCCTTGCTGTGTTATCTGTCTCAGCTCCATTTCCTTGCTCCCTGATACTCCCTGACTCAGTAGCTTTCATTTTCATGATAATCCAACGACACCAGTGGACTGCAAAATCGCTTTTACTGCTTTTTTCCCCCTCTTCTTCCCCCCTCTTCCTCTCTGTCTCTCTCTCTCAACAGTCTCTTGCTCCATTTTTCCCCTACTGGTTTATCTTTTTTCCTCCTGGCTTTATTTTGCTTTTTGTAATTAAATGTCATTTTCAGCTCTCTCATTTTTTTGGAAGGGGGGGGGCAGGGAGTGGGAGGCTAAAAGTTAAAAAGTTTCTTTTTTTGTAATATGATTATTGTTAAAACAGTGCAGCATGACTGCTGTTAAAAACTGAGCACGTCTGAGCTACAGTACCACACTACCACCATCGGATATGTTCAGTTCACCTTCATTTTATTCTCAGTCTACACGTAGCTCAATTACTACTCTGTCATCAAACTTCCATCCGTTCTCAGAGATGTTTCTTTTTATCCACATCTGATATTTCTAAGCATCATATTCATAACAGATGCAAATTATAATTCCTGTCTTCCGGCAGGCATCTTTTATGTCATTTCAACGCACTGTAAATGCCCCAGACTCCACATCTTGCTCCTTTTACTAGAAGCAGCAACATCTAACACTGCACCACAGACTGGTTTATAAAATAAGGCATAATAATGCTACAAATATGACCTGAAAAATAACACAAGCTGTGAATAAGGACGAAAAGATGCAGTTACATAAGTTGACCTGCACAAAAGAACTCATCACATTTTTGTGATTTTTTTTTATCCGAAAAAGTTGTAATAATGTTATTACTCGAATTCATGTGTAACCTTTTTTACTTTTTTTTTTTTAAATCAATTAAACGTCTGAGTTCATATTCATAAATATTCAGATGGATGACAAAAGCACAACACTGCAATGTGTGATGTTATCATATGTGCTTAGAACATTTCACTCAAAAACATCATAAACTATCAGTATATTGTGACATCCCTTGAGGGGATTTTTCCACATCAGTTTTTGATTTGTGTTTTTTGATTATTATCTATCACTAAAAAAACATCACAGTAACTGGATAATTCTGAGGAGGCGTAGTTGAAGGGAAGGATCCAGTCAGCCTTAAGTCAGTAATGTCCAAAATCAGTTTGTTATATCCTATGTTTTGTCAGTGAGATTTAATTATTCCATCAGTCACAAAAACTTTCAAATTTAATCAAAGAATAACTCTTTATGTGAAGAAAGCACCTTAAAGTAATCATTGAATCACACAAGCACAAACGCTTGTGAATCTGCCTTTTTATATGCACAGCTGTATGAAATAACATCATACATGCATCAGGCAGGTGTATTTCTTAGGTTGCCTATATTAAAAAATAAATGTTATTAAATCACATCAA